GAGTACCAGGCAGAAATTGAGGGTGTTGTGGAGGAGAACCAACAGGAACATGGGTTCGCTGTGGAGGAGTTCCAGGAAGAAATTGAGTCTGCTGTGTAGGAGAACCAACAGGAACATGGGTTCGCTTTGGAGGAGTTCCAGGAAGAAATTGAGTCTGTTGAGGAGAACCAACAGGGAAGGGGGTTTGCTGTGGAGAAGTACCAGGCAGAAATTGAGGGTATTGTGGAGGGGTGCCAGGAGGAAACTGGGTCTGGCGTGGTGTGAGAGTGGGAGAAATGCCTTCAGGAAAAGGAGGATGCCTCACTGGATGCGAAGCAAACTGCTGCCCTCTTAATATTGCTGGGTCTTCGTAGCTGGTCGCATTAGGGGGTGGGCTGTCTGGTCCCAAAGGCCAATTAGCAAATCTTGAAATATTTGGGGGGCTGTGGGGAAGCATGCGCTGGTTGTGCTCCAAAAGGCGATGGAATCCACGGTGAGCGGAGGCGGGATGATCCACTGGAAAGTTTTCTGCAGGACCACTCCACTGTTGCTTTGGCTGTTGAACCCTTTGAACTTCAGGTGACAAAGGATAAGGAACAAGTTGCCTCACAGGTGCAGTATGGGGAAACTGCATGATCCCACCCTGTTGCCTCAGCCACATGTCATGTCGAGCAGGAGAAACTAAAAACGGAGCAATTTCGGGGTGGAACATGCTTACTGGATGCCGTGGTGGAGTGCCCATAACAATAGTCTGACCTTGTAAGATAATGGGTGATGATCCATTTACAGAGGGAGACTGTGGGAGACCATCAGGTAAAAGCTGTGGGGATACTTCACCAGACACCTGAGACATCCCGCCTAGGTTGTGAAAGCCGGGAGGTGGTTCCATTTCTCCAGAGTGACTGGATTGTACTGATGAAGAAGTACGTACTCTTGATGTTGCTGTATTACTGACACCCTCGTCCTTTGACCCAGGTAAAACCGCAGGTGGTATGATGCCTGCTGAGTCATCTACATTTATTTCTTCATCACCCTTCTCATTCTTAACATCCGAGATGTGGCTTGTCTGTATGGGTTGGGATATGCCCTCTTTTGATTCCACCAAAGTCTCTTTAGTAACTGAATGCACACTTAGAGAGCCCTGCAGAAGAGTATCGTCAGGTGTTTTCATAGTTGGTATTTCAGATAGTTTATCAGCGACTCCTCTCGACTCGATGCTCCTGCTCTCCTTTGGAGACGAAAGATCTTGTGAATCTGGTTGAGATTTTAAGAGAGATGTTACATCCGAAGCGTTAGCACCTTTGCGAGATGATGTCGATGGCAGATGTATACTGTCGTCAACATTCTTGTTTTGTCCCTCTTTGCCTGTTGCAGAAGCAGATCTTGGACGTACGGAGCCTGCACCAAAGGGCATCTGTTTCACGTTCATTTTCTCGCCTGTTTCTTTTCCCGATTTCCTTTCCTCCTGTTCCTTCCTTTGCTCTGCACGTCGGTTGGCCTTAGAGAGAGGACAATCTTTTGCAATATGGCCTATTTTACCACACACGCGACAATTCCTTTCACTTGGAGCTTCAAAGCCATCTGTAAGATAGTAAACATCAAAGAAGTACCGCTGCAAGAACTCTTTTGGTATATCACATCGTGGAATTCCAAAGCGTTCACGTCCTCTGATAAACGTGGTCAGAATATAGTTCGCCATCCTCTTTGTCACGCCCGCGCTCAAGTTGTGGTCCAGATTGAAAGGGTCTGCAAAGCAAGTCGTGCGCAAGTGAAGAAGGCTTTCGTTTTCTTCGACAGGAATAACTATTAAAGTACACCAAAAGTCACAAATTACAAAACTCAATACAGCGCTCAATTCCAAGTTAATTCAATTACTGTCGGCCGCGGAATACTTTCATAGCTAATAACTTGGCTCCTTCGGAGTTTCTTAGCACAAATTGTAAACAAAAGGTATCATAAGAATGAGGGATGAGTTTTGGCGGGAAGTTTGCTTGTGTTGGTATAAGTGCATTTTAAATGCTACTCTAATCTCAACACGAGGCTGTGTAAAAGTGTAAAAAGCTTAACAAGATAATTGGCCACAACTTTCTTCTGAGTTGATTCTACAATCGAATGTGAAGAGTCTTGATTCGTGTTCTCAAGTAAAAAAGTAAAGAAAAATAACACCTTACCCTCAATTGCAAACACGTGTTTGGTCCACATTTTTTCAAATTTGGTCAGCTTTTCTGTCCTTCTGCAACAAACCACGTCATGTTCGAAGTCAAACTCTTCGGTATAATATCTTAAAAAGCCATACCACAGGAGACCCACACTGAAACTGTTCCTTTCCTTTGGATTCCAGGCACTTCTCTAAGAATACAAAGAAATAAGAACAATAGATTCAAGTGGTTCCTAATATAACGGCACGCATTCCTCTTTATGGATGTC